GACTTTTAAGAGTTCATTAGGAAGACTAACTCTGTGTGATTTATGCTACAAACATTTTCAATCAGTCTGACATTTATTTGTCTTTCTATTTTGCTTATGGTTTTTGACATGCAGAAGTGTGTGTGTTTTTTTACTGCAGTTTTAAAAATGGTGTTTGGATTTTGAGTCATAGTATATTTTTCCATATGAACTTTAGCATCAGCCTATCTAGCTTGGGCTGGGCGGGGCAGGGCCCTTACTGGTGGTGGGACAGTGTCATTTATAGACCAACCTGGAGAGAACAGATGGCTTTATGGCGCTGAGTCACCTTCCTGAGAACCAGGGAAGTCGTCCTTTGACTTGGGGCTACTTTTGTCTCTGCCAGGAAGGGTTTAATGTGTTTCTCTTATAACATTTTCACTTTTTGTTGTTGTTTTTGTTCCTCCTCAGCTGAGGATATTTTTCTCGTTGATTTTTAGAGAGAGTGGGAGGGAGAGGGAGAGACAGAGAGAGAGAAACATTGATCACACTGATTGGTTGCCTCTTGCAGGCCTCCCCCAACCAGGGCTAGGGATTGAGCCTGCAACTGAGGCCTGTGCCCTAGGCCTGGAATCAAACCCGAGACCCTTCAGTTGGTGGGCTGATGCCTTAATCACTGAGAAAACTGGCCAGAGCCAAAGCTTTCACATTTTAAAACTTATTCCCGCCGAAACCGGTTTGGCTCAATGGATAGAGCGTCGGCCTGCAGACTGAAAGGTCCCGGGTTCGATTCCGGTCAAGGGCATGTACATTGGTTGTGGGCACATCCCCAGTAGGGGGTGTGCAAGAGGCAGCTGATCGGTGTTTCTCTCTCATCGATGTTTCTAGCTGTCTATCTCTCTCCCTTCCTCTCTGTAAAAAAATCAATAAAAATAAAAATTAAAAATTAAAACTTATTCCCAACTTTTATCTTTATGTTGCTATTGTAAATGGGGGTTTTCTTCTCCAGTATATCTTCTGACTGGCCATGGTTTGTATTGATGGCTGTTGATTTTTGTATCTTAAATTTACATCGTGCTATTTTCCTAAATCCTTTTATTGTTTTCTTTAGTTGTATCATCGAGCCCCTGGTTTTCCAGATGTCCTGTGATGCCTTGCGCAGATGTGGGGGGATCAGTTCTTCCTCTCCAGGCATTATGCCTCTGATTGCCTTCTCTTTCTTGTCTACTTCCCTGCTGTCTTGGAGATAAGTTCGAACAGTGGTGGGAATAAGGTGCCTTTGCCTCATTCCTGACCTCAGTGGGAGTGCCTCATATTCTTCCATGAGAAAGGGACTTGCTCAGGGGGAAGTATGGACGTGTGTGTGGTGGGTAATGTTTCCAATACAGATTCTGTGATATTCAAAGTTGTTGCTGTTAAACAAGAAATAGTAAAAAGAAAAGAAACATTTTACTCAAAAAACTAAATTACAGAACTAAGCCATAAACTGAAGGAACATGGGAAGGGTAAGTATAAATCCAAATTTTATTGAATTAAAACACACAGAACAAAGCCAATAAAAATAGTACATTAAGGAAAGGTAAAGAGTTGTTTGTTTGAATATATAAATGAAATCATTATCTGACAAGGCTAATTATTGGAGGGAGGGGAAGAGGGAAGGGAGGGGCAGATGGACCGGCAGGAGAGACTAGCACTTAGGAACCGGGACCTCCCAGTTTAACAATCGATTTTAGACAGTGGGTTAACTATTAGGAAAAAATGTTAAATTAGACCTTACTATATACTTTTATAACAAAATAAATCTGAATGGGGCAAGAATGTGTAAAACAATCTTATTTTTACTTCATTATACACACCCACACCTATTTATAAGTATTAAGGACACATGTATTAGTTTTCTCTGCTGGGTAACAAATTACCACAAACTTAGTGGTCCACACCAGGCATCCTTTTCTGTCTCATGTTCCTGTAGGTAGATGTTGGGACAGCCTAGTCGAGTCCTCTGTTTGGGGGGGGGGGGGGAGTCCCTCAGGCGGTGTTCTCATCTGGAGACCGGCTGGGGAAGGACTTCCCTTGGCCTCCCGCGGAGCTGTGGGCAGAGGTCATTTCCTGGGGGCTGTATGGTTCAGGCAGCTTGCTCCTTCAGGGCCAGAGGAGCACGTGCTGTGCTTCCAGACCTGCCCTTCAGAGCCTCTCTTAAACAGCTCACCTGGTGCTGATAGGGTCAGCCCTGCCCAGAATATGCCCTTTAGATTCACTTGAGATGAACTAACTTTGGAAATTAATTACACCTGCAAAGTCCCTTCATTTTGCCATGCAATGTTACCTAACCTTGGGAGTGATATCTTATCGACTTCAGGGTCCCACCCATACTGGGGAAAGAGTGCCACATAGGGAGACACCATTGGGGGGGTGGGAGGGACTTGGAGGAAGTTCCTATCAATTCCTGGTTCAGCAAAATTTTATCATAACTGGCTGTGACTTTTATTGAAGAATTTTTTACTTTTATTTATTTCTCTAATGTTCTTCCTTCTTTATGTAAATTCAGAATTTTGTTCTACATAATTTTCCTTCTCCGTGAAGAAAATTCTAAAACATCTTTAGGGCAAAGCCCAGCGTAGCCTCCACTTTGTGCTAGAATGAAAGCATTTCTCTAAGATCTAGTTTGTGTGTTTATCTCTTATTCTTACTTTAATGGCTTTAAAAATAACTCTGCATTAACCAAACATGGGCTGCAGCTCTGAGGAGGCTGGCACCCACGTGGCCTCGAGGCCTTGCCCAGAGCTGCTCCTGGGTAGAGCCGCCACGTTGTCATGCCAACACAGAGCCCATGGACTTGAAATGTGGCCACTGTGACAGTGTGGAATCACAGCCCCACCGCCCAGCTGGGCAGGGCCCGCAATGAGAGGGTGCTGTGATGGGAAGGTCTAATTTTACAGAAACTGGGATATGTGCATATAAAAAGATCATTTTGGGGGTTTTGTCTTAGCTAGAGAGCATGCCTAAATGTGTGTGTATCTCTATGTGTGTGCTTGTACACAGGCTGTGCTCTATTGTTTAAGGGTCTGTTTTCTAGAAGTTTGGAATCATAACTGACAAAGCTTTTCAGGGCTTCTCCAGAGTCTCTGCTGTGGTCTTCCCCCTTTGTCTCAGTGCGTGGGAGACGGTCGGCGTGCTCCCTTCCGGCTGTCGGTGGGGCTGGTCCGGAACAGGCCCGGAGGCCATGTGCCCTGATTTCTCTCACTGAGGACATGGTGGTTTGTTGCTGAACTCCTTACTTTTAGTGGGAGAAGACTTGAGGCAAATATTAGTATATCAGGCTGTAAATTCAATTGTGATTGTCAAGAAATTATGTTCTTCTTGCATCGTCAGGGAAGTGTTAGGGAAATGAAAGGAGAGGTTTATGTGCCAGGCAGGAATAGTTTCATATGCGGAGTGTAAAGAATTATTGATATCTGTAGTGGCACCGGCCCTGCAGACCGTGTGTCTTCATGGCCAGGTCTCGTCCCTTCGGCGTGTGTGTGGAGTCCGGTGTGTACAGGGATGCTGGGCTGCGGGCCCACATTTTCTGTGTCTCAGCTGGGATCAGCCCTTCTTTCACTTTTCATATGTTAATAAAATAAGAGCACAGCGCAGTAATGTACAGAGAATGAGTCCACTCGGCTGAGCCACAGCTCAGCGCCATCCCTGTGGTTCTGGTGTCCTGGTTCTGGCCTAGATGGCGGGATTGGTGAGAGAGTGAATGCACAGGCCAGTGGTTTCAGTGTCACCACCACAATCAAGTCTATAACATCTCATCGTCCCCCCCAATCCTGTGTCCTAGCACTCTTTCCCGTTGCCCCACCCAGCCCTGGCAGCGACCTAACCTCTGTCCCTGTGGATTTGTCTTTCCGTACATTCCATACAACAGAGCCTCCCAGGGTTCGCCCCTTTGTGGCCGGCTCCTTTCACCCACATCGTGCCTCTGAGGCTTGTCTGTCTCATGGCCAGTGTCAGTGCGTCCTTCCCTTCCATGGCTGAGTAATAGTTCGCTGTGTTCAGACCAGGCTCATCTTGATTAATGCTGTGAATGCGGCGTCTGTGTTTCTGTGTGGACATAGGCTCTCACTTCTCTGGGCATAGACCGTTTTTAAATTGCAGTTCCGTAGTGATGTGCATGTCACATTGCTGTGTAGCGGGACCCTAGACTGTTCCCCTGCAGACCTGGATGTACCCCTGCCCAGCCTCCCAGCCTCGTTGGAAGCCTGGCTCTGCCGAGTAGCCTCGTATTGCACTCAGGGCTGCAGGACGCCCGACAGCCTTGGCCATTGCCCAGGACCCTCAGCAGAACTCAGGGGCCAGGGGCTTAAGCCATTGGTGAGGAGACATTAGACCCACTGGGCAGGCTCGAGTGAGCCCAGTGAGGACCTCCCAGGAAGGGGCTGCATCTCAGTCTCGTACACTCCCCCATTCCGTGCCTGCTGGACCCAGGGTATCCTGGATCTGGAAGCTGGCACTTGGTGCTTCGGGTCCTCCCAGCTTCTACAAGCCCACCTGCTGTGGGCAGTCCCTCCCTGATCCCCTGGGATGGGGCAGGACACTGGGCTCTGTGGTGCCTACCCTTTGCCAGGCGGGTTTGGCTCTGGGAAAGCTTGTATAATAGATTGGGTCCCTGCCTGCGGAAGCGGTCTCCTGTATGGAGCGTGGTGTCTTGTGTGCGGGTGGGTCTCCTGTGTGGAGGGGGTGTCCTGTGTGTGGGTGGGTCTCCTGTGTGGAGGGGGTGTCCTGTGTGTGGAGTGGGTCTCCTGTGTGGAGGGGGTGTCCTGTGTGTGGAGTGGGTCTCCTGTGTGGAGGGGGTGTCCTGTGTGAGTGGGTCTCCTGTGTGGAGGGGGTGTCCTGTGTGCGGGTGGGTCTCCTGTGCGGCAGGGGTGCCCCACCCCATGCAGAGACCCCAGCCCCCACAGTGAGGCCGGCAAGTAGGTCTTCATCACAGAGGCTTCCCTGCAGGGCTGTTTGGGGCTGTGAGCGGTCCGACTGACTTTTCCTTTTTCTTCTGTTTACAGCCGGATAACCTGCAGAAGAACTGGCTCCGGGAGTTCTACCAGGTGAGGGCGCTGTGCCGGCCACTCCCCCAGATATGCTGCTCACACGATGATAAGTATTGTGTTTTTGTGGAAGTCACAATTGCCCACGCAACGTGCAGGCTTGGCTGTCCTGGCGCCCACAGACAAGCGCCTCATTTCTCCTCAGAGACCCCTTTCCGATCCCCTCCCTCGGGCCAGGATTCAGGGGACAGGGTGGGGTCTCTTCATTGGAGGGAAGGCTGCTGAAAGGGTGTGGGGACATTAGGGTGCCTCTTGGGGGCCCTGGGGTTTCAGCATGATGGGACCACACATAGGGACCACCAGGGGGTCTGGGCAGAGTGTGGGTGACTCTCAGGGGAGGTCCTCTAGGACGGGCCAGATTCCAGCACTGTCTGTTGAGCAGATGTTGACTGAGGCCCTTTCTGGGGGAGCTCTGCTCTGAGGGCTGGGGTGGAGCTGGGACATGGCAGACAGGGGGCTTCACTTCTGGGGACACAGATGATTGGCACAACCAAGGACGGCTCCGGTATTTCCGCAATGGTAAGGACGATCAAGGCAGTCACCTGGGTCCTTGGTGAGGTCTGTGCATAGGTGTGCATCCTGGGCCCCAGGGAGGGTATATGAGAGGCCACTCTGAGGAGGCACCACGAGCTGAGACCTCCTGGGTGGGAAGAGCATCCAGTTTGGCTGGGAGCAGCTTGGCTTGGGTGGCCGCAGCCAGAGGGGCAGACTCTGGATTAGGGCGGCCTGAGCACAGCTGGGTGAGGATGGTCCAGGGCTCTCTGGCTCCTGCAGTGAACACCAGGCCCAATGGCAGGGCCGTGTGGGTCCTGCTCCTGTTTTGGAGATGACAGTGGGGACCCGGAGGAAGAGGCTTGGTACAGGCCTTGTCACCCCTCACCCTCCTGGGCTGTGTGGAGGTGGAGTTCCTTTCTCACTCATCCGATGTGTATTGTCTGCCAGGCGTCGTGTTTGATGTTGGGGGAACAGAAGGCACATCCCTGGGGAACAGCCTAGGCCCTGGTGCAGGGGCATCAGGAAGGAATATCCTTGGGGATGAGGCAGGTGAGAGGCCACAGAGGTAGGGTTTCTGGGAGTAAGTGGGGGTTCGGGGGGGAGCTGGTTTTCAATTACCTAGGGACCCTGGGCCCCTCTTCCCCATACTCCGCTCTGCCCAGGCGTACACATGATGTCAGGGACTCCTGGGCAAAGCCAAGCGGGCAGGCTGCTACCTGTGACAGCTCATGGGGAGGTGTGCTGGCGAGAGCAGGCCCCGCTGTGGTCAATGCTTGCCTCGGGATTGCACAGGCTCCATGCTTCACCTCTGTCTCCAGCCACTGGGGGAGTCCCTGGCGTGGCTGGAGCCTTCCAGTCCAGCTCTCGGCTCCCTGGGTCCGTTAGTTTTGGTGAAAACATCTGTCGTGCTAAAATGAATTTGCTGAATGATGCAAAACTGGCTCATAATTGCCAGGCCAGTGTGGCTTTTGTTCCTTTGTCTATCTGTCTGTCTGTCTGATTTTCAAATATGGACCTTGCAGAGCTTGGGTGCAGCAGAGTCTGAGACTATTAGGGCACGTCCAGGAAGGGTGAGCGGGTAGCTGGCCTGGCTCCGGGCAGGGAGGGGTCCTGGCAATGACAACTGCGAGGAAACATGCTAGAAGCCTGTTGGGTATGGGGGGCCATCATTGGAGAGGAGTCCTGGGGGACAGTCCTTGGAGTCCTGGGAAGTCTTGACCGCCTCACACTGGTACTATGCCCCATGGAGCCATCATGATCAGAACTTATATCCTGGATCCGCTGGCCATTTATTTATTTATCTCTCCCAGTAGAGGTGCAAGCTCTACTCTGCCACAGATTGGATGTGTGTGTTCTCCACATTCTTCTGTTGAAGCCTCATTCCCCAATGAGATGGTATGTGATGGGCCTTTGGAAGGTTATTAGGATGAGATGAGGTCATGAGGGTGAGGCCCATGCCCTTGTAAGAAGAGGAAGAGACCACGACTTGGGAGGTGCCAGGTGCTGGGGGTTGGTTGGCAGTGAATGGGGGCATCCATGACACTGTGAGAGACATTTGGGAACTCCCCACAGGGGCCCAGGGGCAGCCTAGGAAGGAAATGAACCACCTGAGGGCTGGGGTGCAGGTTCATGGGGTGTCAGGAAGGCTCTTGAGGAGGCTGCTTGGAGACCTGCAGCTCTAACCTCAGTTCTTCCAACTGTGGGGACGGTCACTAGGTTTAACCTTTCCCCGCTTCTGACATGATGAACTTGCGTGTGAACGCTTGGGGCAGGCACCTGTCTTGCTCAGAGCTGTATCCTGAGCACCTAGAAGTGGGTCTGACACATTCTCCGTGGTTAGCAGTTCCTTGTTGAATAACACTCAGGAAATTGCACAAGGCAGGAGAGTATAAATAATCTCCCCACCCCCATCCCGCCTCTGGTTTGATGTCCACACCCTCCTGTCTAACTGTCTGTGTGACTGGAGTGTGGCAACCTTCCTTCGCTGGTCATAGATAAATGTATTTTTAAAGCCTACTCTTTTTGGGGAGTAAACTAGGAAATCTTTCTATGTAAATTAATATACACTATTTTTATGTCTTTAGAGTATTTTATTATTTAAATAAGTCATCATTTAAGTTAAAGTTGTTTTTCTATTGATGTACCTTGGGTTGTTCAAGTTTATAGTAATGCTATAGATAAATTTAAAAGTTGATATAACTTTGGCTGGCATACAAATATAAAATGAGCAAGTATTGAAGATTTTTTTAAATTGAGATAATAAATATTTATGAATGGGAAGACCATAATATCTTCTAATTGGTTCAACTAGGTTCTCCCGTTCCTGGTGCTAAAATGAATTAGCTGAATGATGCAAAACTGGCTCATAATTGCCAGGCCAGTGTGGCTCAAAGGTTGACCGTCAATCCATGAACCAGGAAGTCACAGTTCGATTCCCAGTCAGGGGCATATTCCCAGGTTGCAGGATTGATCCCTAGTGGGGGGCATGCAGAGGCAGCGAGTTAATGATTCTCTCTCATCATTGATGTTTCTTTCTCTCTCACTCTCTCCCTTCCTCTATCTGAAATCAATTAAAAACAAACAAACAAAAACTACCTAATAATTATTGGCATTCTTCATTCCTGTGGTCCAGGGGCATATATGTTCTCGTCAGTTTCTAGAATTCACAGAATTGTAAAACAGCCCAGAGGTAAGTCAAGGTAGAGACACCTCAATAAGTGAGCTGAACAGGACCCTGGCATTTTTTGCCCGTTTAAAAGTCACATTTTTTTTCTGGAAATTTAAAAAATACTCTGATGAGCAAACCTGCTTCCACCAATGTGGAGGAACAGGTAACCTACTACTGCCTTAAAGAAATTTAAACCAGAAAACATCTGAAACAGTGTTTTTCAAACATCAGACACAGGGCAGCATCTAAGAGAGGGGACAGGCTCAGCAGCTCACAGCCGGGGGAGGATTTCCAGGCGAGTATCTAGCCAGGTAAAGCCACAGTTTTACTGTTTACAACCTGCCCACAATTTCCAGGCAGGCGAGGAAGCAGGAAGACAGAACCCTGAGTCGGAGGGTCCGCCAGGGGTGTGGCTGAGGGCTGTGTGACCTCGGAGAACTGCTGCTAGTTTCACTGTGTCCTTGTTCTGGTTGTTTTCACTGATTTCTGCTCCTTGTTGTTTTCTTTTCTTTTTTTTTCTTTTTTTCGATTGCTTTGGGTTGAATTTGCTCTCCCATCTGATTTCTTAAGGTAGATTACAAAATTGGCTAATTTCAGAAATTTGACATGGGCATCACCACTAAAGGTCCTGCAACATTAAAAGGATAATAAGGGAGCCCTAACCAGTTTGACTCAGTGGATAGAGCATCAGTCTGTGGGCTGGAAGGTCCCAAGTTCGATTCCGGTCAAGGGCATGTACCTTGGTTGCAGGGACATCCCTAGTGGGAGGTGTGCAGGAGGCAGCTGATCAGTGTTTCTCTCTCATCGATGTTTCTAGCTCTCTAAAAAATCAATTAAAATATTTTTTTTAAAAGGTAGTAAGGGAAATACCGTGAATAACATATGTCAATAAATTTGTGAAAGGAACAGATTTTTGGAGAAACAAAGTACCAAAGCTTAGCCAAGAAGAAATAGATGCCCTATCGATTCCGTTGAAATGTTGCCCAACTTTCCTACAGAAAACTTTTAGGACCAGATGGTTTTCCTGGCAAATTCTGTTGAGCATTTAAGGGAGAAAGAGCAATTACTCAGAAACTCGTAAAGAAGATCGAAGCATAGTGATGCTCCCTAAGCCACACTGTGGCATGGCCACTACCTGATGGCAGAGGCAGACAGAGATGCCACATCAGAAAAACGATCCTCCACCAAAGGCAAAAATCCATCAAACTAACAGATCAGATGTATAAAAGTATGTCTGATATATATCAATAAATACCAGTATGTGATACGCAAGCAGATAAACAACAGTGTATTAAAAGTTATGACAACATCACCAAGGAATGTCAGCCTGGCTTCCCTTTCACGAATCAGTCAATGGAATTCACATGCCAGCAATTGAAGAAGAAAACATACCATCTCAATAGATGCAGGGAAAGCTTTTGACAGGATTCAAAACCATTTCTGATAAAAACTCCCAGCATTGAAGACTCGAGGGGGACTCCTCAGCCCGCAAGGAGCATCTGCAAAAACTACGCTGCTGCCACTGACGCTGATGTGCTCCCAGAGGTGGAAGACGGCATGGGAACAGAGCCAGGGTGCAGGCTCCCTCCCTCTCCACAGGGTGCTGGAGGTCCTCGCCAGTCCACAGGCGGGAGGGGAAGGAGAAGACAGGCCGATTGGAAAGGAAGAGGGCTCTCTCCTTTGGCAGAAGACTGGACTGCCCTTTAGAGAGGCCTGAAGAGCCCACACAGACTCTGCTCTGACAAATATCAGGGAATTTAGTCAGTCTACAACATATGAGGGCAATTTGAAAATCTTTTATATTAGCTAGGAACAGTTGAAACTTAAGAAATAACAT